CCTTGGAACTGCGGGGCTGGCAGGCCTGGGCACCAGCATGCCCACCAGGTCCATCTCTCAGAGAGCTGGGGAGTGGATGGCTTGGTGCTGGTGATATTTGGCATCCCATAAGAGAGATCCTGGCTACCACAACTTACCCGGACAGGACCAGCCTAGCCAGGCCCTCTTCCTGGGGATGCCCTGCCCTGGCGATGGGGGAGCACGTGCCCCTGATCCTTCAGGTCAGTGTCTAGGAGGAGGACCTTTGGCTCAGCTCAGGCCTCTGAGCAGCCATAGCTCCCCCTTCCCATGCTGCAGGGACTGCAGGTCACAGGTCAGCGACAGGCATCTCCATGTTGGCAGGTTAACTGCAGGTCACCAGTAATCTGTAGGAGTGGCTGCAGTATGCAGCTGCTTGCCGTTGACGCCCATGCCTACTAGGAATGACCAGGGATGTGCCCTCTGGGTCCTGCGCAGGACTTGTCCATCGCTTCCCCTCCCATCTGGACTTACGGTCGTCTGGGCCCCCAAACCTCCCTGGGCAAGTTTCCCTACTACTCAGATCAGCCTGAGAACCACGAGCTCTCTGCTTCCTCTGTCCTGGCTCCATAGCCCAGCCTCTTTGTCACAAACCAGTCCCTGCTACAGAGAGAACAAGTTAGTGAAATCCAGCAGCTCTGGCCCAAGCAGTGTGGACGACGTCTCTGAGGATCCTGAAGGCGCTTTGGGTCAGTCAGGTTTCTGGGAGTTCTGGGAATGAGCTCCAGCTGACCCCCAGAGCAGTGCCCAGACCATGGGCTGGGGAGAGCAAACGGGGCCAGCCTTGGGGAAGAGTGGTCAGTGGTCCTACAAGGAGGGAAACGGCATAGGAAGAGAGCACAGTTGGCCAGGTCACCAGCCTGGTCCCTTCTAGTCTTCATGATAGCACTGGGAAGTAGGAAATCCTCACCAGTGCAGGATTTCACTCGGGTCAGTCTGACTCTCAGCTCAGGCTGAGCAGTGAACAGCGAAGCTGATGGTGAGAGGGCAGGTCTAGAGTTTTCAACTCTAGGATAGAGGGTGACTCTCAGGAGCCCTGCTGTAGGATCCCATGTGGCCCACACACTGATCCGAGGGCTCAGGAGTGACCATGGGGCCTACCAGGATCCATGAGGGACCTGGGGGCACTTGGGACTCCAACTCAGCTCTGAAGACCATAGTGTTGGGGGGAAGTCATTCTGGGCAACCCTGGACACCACAAACCAGGGGGACAAACCCAGGGATACTCGTGGGCTTTAAGATAATCGGCCCTGAAAGAGCAATCCAACCTGTGGGGTTCAGCTACAAAAGCTCAGCACACATGGCCCTTGTGGGTCCTGTCAAACCCATCAGGGATGCCCACAGCAGACTTGGCTTGACAAAGCTGCCAGTCCAGGGACATGGGAGCAGAGAGCTGGGCAGAGAACCCCTCAGGAGGGCTCCTCACTTGGAGACAGGGCCTGGGCTGAGGCCTACACACAATGGCCCAACTTCCCAAGGGAGGGCAGGCAAGAGAAAGGGGACAGATATGGGGTGCGGCTGAGCACCTGTGTTCACCTGTCCCCAGGCCTGGGGAAGTGTGTCCTGCCCTGACCAGCCCTCGGAGGATCCAAGGATTCTGGGATATTGCCAGCCTTGAATGCTTAACTCTAGCTCTCTCTTTCATGGGGTGGTAGATCAGACTAATTAGTGTGTTGTTGCTTGTTTACCCTTCTTTCATTTCCGAGACAAAATAATTAACCACAGAGCTTTAGAAACCCGCTGCATTGGTGGCAGTCCCCTTTATGTCTCCTGCGTCAGTAGCTTCTGAGCATAGGTACAGGGACAGCACACAGGAGCAGGGCAGTTGGCAGCTGGGAGGGCCCCTCCTGCTCAGGGCACTGCAGGAGGGGGCGCCAGGGAAGGGCTCTGGACAGGGGAGCCGGAGTAGCTGGGGAGGGCTGGGATGCTTGGGTCAGCCACGTCCTAGAGGATCACTGTGGGGCCACTGCTGCCCACCAGTCCTGGGGCTGCTGGCCACCTCCAATTTCATTGACACCTGAATAGGGACCAGATGTATTACTCTGACCAGCCCAGGAGAAGCAGAAAGGTCAGACCCAGCCACTCACTGTCCCTGCAGGCCGGGCTGTGTGGAACCTGCCCAGTGGCTTTCTGGGGTCACAGCAAGAGTGAGGGGATATGGGACAACTGAGGAGGGAGCCTTGCTTCCCTACATGCCCCAATATCCCTGTCCCAGCTAATAGCAGATCCCAACCCTGATCAGCCCATGTCAGGGACAAGCCACACAGGAGACAATAGGTTTGAGGAATTTCTCTCAGGAACCCTTTGAAGAAATGAGGCTGCCTCTGCCTCTGCCCCACAAGGGAACCACACTATGGACACAGCCAGTTCTGCTTGGAGGGTGGCACAGTGCAGGCAGGATGGACCCTCACCTCCCAATCCTTCTCCAAAAATGTCATCAAGGCCAGGGTTCAGTCTGTACAGCCCCAGCCACTACTCTCAGACCAGGCCAGACTCCTGACATGGTGACTGAGCCTAGGGGCTAGATGGCCCCACCCGCTCCATCTTCCCAGCCTCTGTCACCCTTGAGGCAGCAGGGTCCCTTCGTTCCTCAGTTGGTCACTTCTTTGTTTGCTCTTTCCCTCCCCAAACATGGGGGCTGCACCCTGGGCTCAGCCACAAACACACACAGTTCACAGCTCGTTGGGAAGCCCAGATATTAAATAGCTCCTAGTGGGATGACAGCACATGTGGAAAGGGCTTTGAGGGGTCACAGGCAGCCTTGGATGGGATCAAGGAAGACGTCTCCCCGCTCCCCCATGCTGGGGAGGAGGAATCTCAGCTGAGCCCGGAAGGGTGGAGAAGCAGATTCGAGACAAGAAAGGAAGGAGGGTCAGGATGAGAGCCCAGTGGGCAGGGGGCCCGGGGTCAGGCAGCAGGGCCTATCTGGGGTGCTGCAGGCCCTGCTGGTGGAGCCTGGGGTGGGGGCGGGTGGGGAAAGAGCTGGTGGGGCTGGGGGCAAGAGCACAGAAGGTGCCTAGACAGAGACTGGGAGTCTAGATTTGTTCCCCAAGACATTGGGCCCGTCAAAGAGAGAGATAAGATTGTGTTTAGGGGGACCCTCCAGAGCCCTGGGGTTTGGAGCTGTAGCTACGACTGAGGACAGCAGGACAGTGCAGGGTGTGGCTGAACTCAGGTGAAGATGGTGCCGGCTGGTGAGGCCAGTGACTGCAGGCCACAGAGATGAGGGAGACTCAGAGGTGGGCCTGCTCCGTGACTCTGAGGCAATGTCCAGGTGATCCCAGGAGTCGGGCCTGGCCAACCCTAGCACCTTGGTGCCAACTGCAGGGACTCCTGGTGGATGGGGAGCCTTGGGAGATGCCATCCTGCTCCCCCCACCCCCTGCCCCAGGTTCTTCCTTTGGTCTGGCAGAGACAGGTCTGTGTGGGCAGTTCCACGTCCTCTCCTGCGGATGTCACTTGGCCAGTCTGAAGCCAATTGGCTCCACACAGTGAGGGCTGGAAGTTTGCCAAGAGCTGCCAAGCCCACCCAGCCTGAGAGGGAGAGAGACTCGGCTGTTGCTCCCTGCAGGTTCAATCCATCTCCCAGCAACAAAAGTGCTGAGATTTTAAAGAAGGAACAAGGGAGTACGTCCCGGAGTCTCCCAAGCCAGACGGCAGGTGGGGAGGGCCTGGACACCTACTGGCCCCTCTGAGCACTGGCCACAGGGTGAGGCACAAGTCCCAGATTTCACCGAGGCTCAGCGTGGAGGCTTACCGGGTCGCCGGTTGTGGTCTGCATAGACACACCTGCTGCTCTGAACTGTGACCTCCCAGAGTTTGTTTCAAAGTAATTTCCCCAGGAGTAAAAATTCTTGTGAAATACATTCATCAGAACCAGACACGGCCTCTGGCTCAAGCTTCTCTTCAGACATTAAGCCTGGAAGTGGTGGCCACAAGGCTGTCCTGTGCCACCAGTGATGCCCTCCTCACACGATGGACTGGCGGGAAAAAGCTGCCTCCTTTCTGACCAGAGGCATCTGGACCAACTCCCCCTCATCCCCCCACCCAGACCGACCTCCCCTTATCCCTCCATCTCCTTCGTGCCTACCGGTGCCAGCCTGAGACTCCAGGCGCCCTCGTGCAGCTCCTTCTTTCCAGGAGCTCCTGGTCTGCTGGGCAGTGGATGGTCCCGCAACCTTTGTGATACAGAGCTGCGGAGACTAGGCCACTCACAAGGGAGACAGGAGCCCCCAGTGGAGACACCTAAGCCACTCAGGCAAGGGAGAGGAAAAAGTCCTCTGAGGACGTGACTTCTAAGCTGAGTCTTAAAAGAGAAAGGGTGAGCAAGGCAAAGAACAGAGGAATGGGGAATGGTGGGCTTCTTCAGGGTCGGAGGATGGGGGCGCAGGCTGTGATGCTGCAGCCTGCAGCCACAGAGAGAGCCTGGTTGTGCATGGGGAGACATACTGGCCTCCACTCCAAGATTCTCTGGCCCCTTTTCTCTGCTGTTTGATAATGCTCTGTCCTGATGTGGTGGGCATTTCATGGCTGGTGGCAGTGTTGGTGGCTCCTCTGGCCAGGGTCACCCACCCAGATGTCCTCAACACAGCCTGACAGGCTTCTGGCTGCTCCCAGCCAGGGCTGGCCAGACATCCTCTAGGATCTCCCACCTGCCCCTTTGGCCTCCACAAAGCTGTACCCCTCTGAAAACCAGGGCCATTGTCAAGCAGTTAGGTTACAAGGTCAAGATGGTCAATTAGGGACAGTCGTGCCACCCAGCCATTTACTCCAAAAGAACACAAACACAGAAAACGGAGTAGGCTGGGGCTGTCTCCTCGACACCAAAAGCCCCGTGTGAGCTTGCTGGTTCCAAGCCTGGTCCTCAGAACCATCTTGCTCACATTGGAGGAAGCAGGAACGGGCTGAGCTGGGACAGTGGCGCCACGTCCAATCTGCTTCCCCGAAGGTCACTAAAAGTCCCTCCGCTTTCTGTCTCCACAGAATCTCCAGTAGGCGTTGGTGTCCCAGCATGGTTCACTGAGGTGAACCATGACCGGCTGGCCAACGGTCACCACTGACCATTCAGAGTTGCGTCTCACCAGAAGGTGACACATCCTTCAGCAGCCCCCCCAACTCGCCACCTGCCCAGGAAAGTGCCCGACGCTGCCACGGACACCATGTAGTAGGGCCGGCTGCGGCGCCCAGTGAGCTGCGATGGTTTTGTACACGACCCCCTTTCCCAATAGCTGTCTGTCCGCCCTGCACTGTGTGTCCTGGGCCCTCATCTTCCCATGTTACTGGCTGGTGGACCGGCTCGCGGCCTCCTTCATACCCACCACCTACGAGAAGCGCCAGCGGGCGGACGACCCGTGCTGCCTGCAGCTGCTCTGCACCGTCCTCTTCACGCCCGTCTACCTAGCCCTCCTGGTGGCCTCGCTGCCCTTTGCATTTCTTGGGTTCCTCTTCTGGACCCCCCTGCAGTGTGCCCGCCGGCCCTACATCTACTCACGGTTGGAAGACAAGAGCTTGGCCGGCGGGGCAGCCCTGCTCAGTGAATGGAAGGGGACGGGGCCAGGCAAAAGTTTCTGCTTTGCCACCGCCAACCTCTGCCTCCTGCCCGACTCACTTGCCAGACTCAACAACGTTTTTAACACCCAGGCACGGGCCAAAGAGATTGGGCAGAGAATCCGAAATGGGGCTGCCCGGCCCCAGATCAAAATCTACATCGACTCGCCCACCAACACCTCCATCAGTGCAGCCAGCTTCAGCAGCCTGGTGTCACCGCAGGGCGGTGACGGCGTGGCCCGGGTCATCCCTGGGAGCATTAAGAGGACAGCCTCCGTGGAGTACAAGGGCGACGGCGGGCGGCACCCCAGTGACGAGGCTGTCAATGGCCCGGCCTCCGGGGACCCTGCCGATGGCGGCGGCCTGGAGGACACCTGCATCGTGCGCATTGGTGGCGAGGAGGGGGGCCAGACACCTGAAGTTGACGACCCTGCCCCCGGGGCCCAGGCCAGGAACGGGGCCGGCGGAGGCCCGAGGGGCCAGACACCCAACCACAACCAGAGGGATGGGGACTCGGGGAGCCTGGGCAGCCCCTCGGCCTCCAGGGAGTCCCTGGTGAAGGCGCGAGCAGGGCCAGATGGCGGTGGCGCCGGGGAGCCGGGTGCCAACAGCAAGCTCCTGTACAAGGCCTCGGTAGTGAAGAAGACAGCTGCACGCAGGAGGCGGCACCCCGACGAGGCCTTTGACCATGAGGTCTCGGCCTTCTTCCCTGCCAACCTGGACTTCCTGTGCCTGCAGGAGGTGTTTGACAAGCGGGCGGCTACCAAGTTGAAAGACCAGCTGCACGGCTACTTCGAGTACATCCTGTATGACGTCGGAGTCTATGGCTGCCATGGCTGCCAAGGCTGCCAAGGCTGCTGCAGCTTCAAGTGTCTCAACAGCGGCCTCTTCTTTGCCAGCCGCTACCCTGTCATGGACGTGGCCTATCACTGTTACCCCAACAGGTGTAGCATCGATGCCCTGGCCTCTAAGGGAGCTCTGTTTCTCAAGGTAGGCGGCCTTGGCCCCGAGGGCCACATGGCAGCCGGTCCCAGAGCCATGTGGGGTGATGTGTTGTAGTGAGAGGGAGGCCAGAGTGGGAGGCAGACACGGCCTTTCACAGAGCCGAGGAGGAGGGCCCCAGCTCAGGGACAAAGGAAATACAAATGTAGGGACAAGAGCCAAGGCTCCTAGCTCAGGCAAATGCAGCTGGGTGATCTTGGGTCAGTTCCTCAGATCTCTTAGCCACCATTTCCCCATCTGTAAAATGGGGACAGGGTGGGAGTGAATCAGAGTGGTATGGCCTGGAGGGGGTTCAGGACTTCAGGTCTCATAGCACAGGTGACAATGGTGGCCGTCGCAATGATGGCAGTGATAAGGGGAGGAAGAGGAGGATGCAGGGCTCCCAGCACAACAAGAATTCACATGAGGCGGAGAGACCATGCTCTGCAGGCAGACGGAACGCTCATGTCCCTGGGTCCGTTACCCTGCCTGGCTGGCTGAGGCCTCCAGCTTCATTGGCCCGGACACCCTTCCCTCCTGGCTGTCATGCAGCTGCCGTGCCAGGCTCTCTGCCCACCAGCCCATGGCTTCGCTTCCATAGTCACTAATTAAAGGGAATCATAATTATTTCTGCTAATTTGGATGCAATTGGAGGAGTTTTTAGACCATGGTAATTTGATCATTACACATTATCTTCTACTGAGCCTGAGACACTCATAGTGTCGACTTTTGTTTTGTACCCAAAAGCTGCTTTTAGTGCTAGAGCTTTCTGAAGCATCAGTTGGCCAGCAGGTGTGGAACAAGGCTTTCTGCCTCCTCCCAACCCCCCAGTGCAGCAGTGGCTTCGGGTGTGGGCTCTCTCCCTTTAAGGGGCCACATAAAAAGAGGAGAGACATGGCAGGAAGGGCTGGGCTAGGAGGCCCAAGGCGAGTTTCCCTAACTTTCCAGTTACCCTCCAGAAATGACCAAGTTCATCCTGTACAGGAAAATGCTGGTGTATGAGCCGGGCGCCCACCTGGAGCAAGGGCTAATGGTCTCCATGGAGCCTGCTGGAGACAGGGCAGGCACGCCAGGCCACAGCCCCCGACTCGGGTTGCTCGATGGTCTTCGTGTGGCTGGGCCAGACCCAGAGCTGGGGGACCCCTGCTCTTCATTCACAGCGTGAGATGCTGAAATTGCATTTACTCCTGACAAATAGATCCAACCTTCCTATTTTGGCATATGGTTTGTTGGTGTTCTGTTCCATGGATGTATTTTTGTCTCAGCAGCAAGAGTGACTTTCTGGGGAAGAAGGGGACGTGTTATCAGGCTTAGAGTGGGAGGGTGTGCCCCTCACTCTCGCCCTACCACAGATGGCTCGGGGGACAGGGGCCTCTCCCGACCCCCACCTCAGCCCACTTCTGCACAAACCAATCCACACATCCCTCCTCCATCTGGCACTGTGATCGCTGTTCCCACCAAGGTCAACAACAGTCTTCTTGGAACAGCCCCCACCTCGGAGACTCTGTCCTGAATGTTCTTTTCGTCCTCTCATACTCTTGGGTCTCCGACTGTTCTGCAGATGCATGTAATTTGGTCCATGCCATTACGCATTTTTCTGTACTGGCCAATATTGAAAAATCAAGATACGTCACATAAAGTCCAGTTTGCAGCTTCTCTCAGCAGTCTAGACCTGCAGCACCCACATCCCATATCCCACACAGCTGCAGTGAGCCCCAGCTGAGAGTGGCCATCCCACAGTAGGGCCAGCCCTCTCAGCCAACTCTTCGTTTCCTGGTGACCACTACGGTCCACCCTGCACCAGTCCCAGGAGTGTGATGCCACAGCTCCCATGGCTGCCTTGTTGAGGACCCTCTGCTTTGTCCCAGCCCAGATCATGCCCCTGACCCTCACCCCTGCATCCAGCTGCCTCCTGGACAGATCCTGAACCAAACTCAGCCTCCATCCGGGCTACTCCTCTCCTGGGTTCTGCCATCCCTAAGCCAGAAGGACCACCTTGGCTGTTTTCTTTGCCCAACCCACTCATCCCAAGCTTTTAAATCATTTTCCAGATAGCCCTGGGTGCCCTCATGTCTCCAACTACTCTCCCTTGGCCCAGGACACCATTCTGCATGGCCTATGGTTTTGGCCACCCTGCCGCCTCCGGCCAGCCCTCCCCGTAGGCCCGGTCTGACTCCTGGTATCTCCCTCTGCTGCCTGGTGGATAGGCTGACCTTCAGCTTGGCCCTTCCACCCTCAGCCACATGCCCCACGAGGGACCCCCACCCTGGGCTTGGCTGAACAATCTCCGCACAAGCCCAGCTCCCCTTCGCGGGCTCTCGGCCCTCAGGCCCAGGGGTCTTGTTGCCATCTGTCCTCTTAGAGCACCTCAAGAGCAAAGCTGTAGTGTGCCCGGCCCACGCAGACCCCGACTCATCTGTTGGCCAAGAACACGGCCACTTCTCCTGCCACGGAGGATGAAGTAAGTGGGGCTGCAGCGAGCGACAGGGACGCCAGAAGGACTCACTGCACGAAGCCATACCCCTTCCTCCCAGGGCCCCACTGGTTTACCTTGTGATCCTTCAGGGAAATGCAACTCTGAGAAGGAAGGGCCTGGAATCCCTTTTGCCTCTTGTACAACCGCCTCGTTCTGGGAGCTTTTCTGTTGACAGTCTTTGCCCAGCAGGACCAAAAGGCACAACTCTTGGTGTGATTGATTGTTTTTGCAAGAGAAACACAAGACTCTGTGGCTCCCAAGACCATGAGCCGGGAATCGATAAGTCCCAGCCAATACTGAAGTGAACCTTGGCGAGATCACATGCCGAGAAGGGGGGGAGAAGGGGGGCCAAGAGGGGATCAAGGCTTCTGTGTGTGTCTTCCCTCTGGCGGGTCCTCCTCATGCCGGGCCGAGTCTGACGCTCTGTGCACGTATCCCCGTCCCTGCCCGGATTCAGCACAGGGCAGGTGTCACTAAGTGCTGAGTGAGAGCCTGACACATTGAGACACATGGAGACCTGTGGGAAGCCTGGCTGACAAAGATACCAGTGGCTCAGATGGCCACACAGAGCCACACATGGTGGCCAACAGATCTTATCTGGACCTGCCTTGACCTGCTGAACTTCTGGCCTCAGTGTGTTCATCTAGAAAAATGGCATACCTTTAGTATAATCCCAATAGGACCTAAGAGGGCATGTCCATGAAGCACTAATAATGCCCCCGCGTGAATATTATTACTGTTGAGGAGAAAATGAACTTGTTGCCTGAGGAGTACAGGGGCAATAGTGCCATCATGTGGCCATTTTGAGCGCTGGGCGTTTTTAATGTTTTGTTTTTGCAACTGGACCACTGGTGTGTGATTTCACAGAGTTGGTGCAGGACAGACAATTTTAGGCTGAGGTTTGGGTCTGTACACGGACAAGAAGTGAATGGTGAACGTATGGGTTTACAAAGAGGCTCCAATTCAGGCTCAGCAACCCATTATCAGATAGCCAGACATTCATCCATCAGGCACTGGGGAAGGAAAGATCCCGGCTGGGACAGGGGGTGAAGACTATGGGGAGTGGGGGGTTGTTTGCTGATGAGAAAGTCCAGATGGAAAAGACACCTGCCCAACTTCAGCAGCAAGAGGGAAGGTGGAGCCTCCCGGGGCTCTCGGAGCAAATGGGCTGTGACATCCAGGCCACTGTGGGCTCCACATACATGGGGCACCCCACCCTGCTGTGCCTGGCTCTCAACCCTCAACCCCTGGGACAGACAGCTCACCCTTGCAGTCCTGGGGAGTTCCCTGGGTCTAGAAAATCCATTCTGGAACGGATTCACAAAGTCTGGGGAAGGCAGCTGAGGCACACGAGGGAGAAAGGCCTAAAGGGAAGAGGATGAGGAGCCAGCGAGGGGCCTCTGGGCCCAGGACGCTTTCCGTGTGGCCTCCAGAAGTTATGCAGTGGCCAGAAGGCCTGGAAGAGCCCTCAGGCGGGGGCCACCTCTCTGTGGCCATCCTCGCCCCCTCTGGCCACAACAATGACAAGGGCCCAGTCTTGTTCTGGAAGCTCCCACTGGGTTGGGGCAGTTGTGAGCTGTCTGCGAGGTATAGTCAAAGAGCTCACTGGTATTAAGGCCACCTCTGGAGACATCTGTTGGGGTCATCTGCTGGTTACATGGGGTGGAAGGCTCTGTCTTGGGTAAAAGAGGTGAGCAGAGGGAAAGGACGGAGTCTGGGGAGAGGGGAGGCCGCCTCTGGAGGAAGGACGGCTGGGCTCAGGAGGGAGATTGTGGGTGGGCCCAGGGCTGGCCCAGGACACAGGCCAGAGCTCCCATCCAAGACTGGGGACTACAGGGAACCACAGCCTATATAGCAGATGAGGCAACTAACCAAGCAGCCAGAGGTCTGAGACTGGGGAGAGCAGGAGGGAGCAGAGTCTGGGGCCTCCCACAGTGGGGGCAGACTCAGAGGTGCAACGAAGGACGTCGACTGAGTCTTCAGAGGGAAGGGGCACCCGGGGGTGATCAGGTCTATGGTGTGAACAAAGGAGAGAGCCACCATGTACATGGGTGCTCTGGCATATGGAGATAGCAGGGATTGGAGAGGAACTGTGCTGTGGTTTCTGCGTTTTCCCCCATCAAGCCTTGCGCAGATTGTCGCTGGCACTCCGCGTGCTGTAGGTTGTTTTCATTACATATCCATCACCACTCGTGACCACAAGCTACTAGAAGTGGGACATGTCCTGTCCTCACCTGGGCCCCAGAGTCTAGCCAGCAGCCTGGCTTGTGAGTGTTTGACCTAGAGGGTGGGTGGGCATTACCAGTTTCCCTTTGCACTTGGGGCAATGATGGCTGGTAGGTGGCAGCACTGATACCTCCCTCCCCCAGGTGCAGGTGGGAAGCACACCTCAGGACCAAAGAATTGTCGGGTACATCGCCTGCACACACCTGCACGCCCCGCCAGGTATGGTCGCTGCCCAGGGTTTTTCAGGGGTGGGATCAACACCTGGGGACTGGTTGAGGTCTGGCTGTAAGCATCACTGTCCCTTCTGCGCTTCTGCCCTGCAGAGGACAGCGCCGTCCGCTGTGAGCAGCTGGACCTGCTTCAGGACTGGTTGGCTGATTTCCGAAAATCTACCTCCTCGTCCAGCGCAGCCAACCCCGAGGAGCTGGTGGCGTTTGACATCGTCTGCGGAGATCTCAACTTTGACAACTGCTCTTCTGGTGAGGCTGTCCTCCTCCCCACGTGGGTCTGCTGCTCTGGGGAGAGCGTGGGATCCAGTCGCAGCTAGAAAGACTTGCGTTAGGCAGCTCGAAGAACTTCCTGCTCCTCGTGAGAGTGTGGGTGGGCTTTTCAGCAAGACTGAGTTCTTGGCCCCCTAGAAATCCTAGAACAGGAAGAGCCCACGCTCTGCCTAGAAAGCTCAGAGGCCTCCTTGCTGGAGACAGAGATGCCCTAAGAACCTCTGCCAGGGAAGGCTTGGGGGTCTCTTCAACGAACTAAGGGAGAGGTCACTAATAATCCTTGCCAAGTATTTGTTCAGCTCTTACTCTGAGTCGGCAGGATTCTGTTTCACCTAAGCCTGCTGACAACCCTGAGGGAGGCACGGTACCCACATGCTGCAGAAGAGCAAGCTCAGAGAGGCTGACTGACTCGTCCAAGGTCACCTAGCCAGGAAGTATCAGAGCTGGAATCTGAACCTGGAATTGTGCTTTAAACCATTAGGCTAAAGGACGGAAAGTTCAACATGAGTGAAATTTTAAATATTTGATGTAAATTACTGATCTGAGGGTCAGATTACCATGAAGATATTATGGTGACCTCCTGAGGGCTCAGGCTGCTCTGAGCCTCCCTGGGCTCAGAGGAGCCGGGTGTCAGAAAAACTCCAGCCCACTGGCTCCCTCACTCCTTCTGCACTGGCCACAGACCCCAGGAGAGACCGAGGATGGCGGTGGAGGACGATACAGGGGTCTCTGAGCCCAGGCCCTAGACCTCAGTGGAGGCAGAAACCTGAAGGTCTCTCCTGGAGCACAGGGTGGTTCCCTCACTAGGTGGAAGCAGGTGGCAGCTGTTCCAATCTGTTCATGAAGCAGGCATCTCTTGATGTTTGGCAACTCCAGGGTGAGCAAGAAGAACAGCGCCCATCATGGGGCACATAGCCCCCAACACGTGAGGAATGATCCTTCACTGCAGCCATGTGGGGCAGGGCTGTCACCCCCAGCAGACTGGCACTGGCCCCAGCACTGTGTCCCTGTGGTCCCGTCATATGCCTGATGCCAACTCCAAATTCTAGGTGCTCCCGGAATCTTCCAGAGTCAGAGCAGGGACCCAGCACACACAGGAAGCTGGAGGGGGGTCTTACCTAGGCAGGTCCCACTCACTGCCCTCTCCTTCCCTCCCTGGGGTCTCAGAAAGGCCCTTCTGGCTGGAAGAGTCAGCAGACAGACAGGAATCCCGGGCGGGTTCCCCCCCCCCCGAGCTATGTGGGGTCCACTCTTCCCTCACTCTTGGGCACCCAGGTCTGTGAAGAGGACAGGAGTCCTGGCCAGGGCAGCATCATCAGTCCCCCCACAAGGGTTTGCCATGGGATCTGGGAAGACCTCGACGTCACTGGTTCCTGGAGCCCAAGAGGCATGGTGACCTGTCCTCAAAGGAAAAGCTGCAGACCAGTTTGGGGGGAGGCATTCTCAAGGACACGTAAAACCAGTGACAGATAAACCATCAGACCCTAGCCAGAGACCGTTTTCCTAAGGGGACAGGGACCTGGTGGCATCTGGCAGGAGTAGCTGATCAGAGCCAGGGGCAGCAGGCCCTGTGGGACAGGCCAGATCCCCTGAGGTCACCTTCCCTCTCCCTGCAGATGACAAGCTGGAGCAGCAGCACCCCCTGTTTACACGCTACAAGGACCCATGCCGCCTGGGGCCCGGGGAGGAGAAGTCGTGGGCCATCGGTGAGCCGGGACCAGGGGAAGAGGTGGGGAGGGGCTGGGCTCCCACAAGCTGCCCTGGAAGACCACCAGGACCTGCCCCCAAGGCCCCACACTGGGGAAGGGCCCCAGGCCATCAGAAGCCCTTGCCTACCCCACCCTGTCCCATGAAGTACATGCTTCTCGAGGCTGCCTAGGTGCACTCGGCCTGCAGTGACCACTCTGGCCCTCATCCCCAGGTACCCTGCTGGACACAAGTGGCCTCTACGATGAGGATGTGTGCACCCCTGACAATCTGCAAAAGTAAGCACCCACACTGCTGTGGGCTGGTGGGGGACCTTCAATCCAGACCAGTTCCCAGGTCTGGAACGAGACACTGAAACCCTGACTTGGGTGGAGAGACAGGGGCTGGGCAGGAGCCATGGGGGAGAGCTCATCTCAGGCCAGGGAGGGCTTTTGTCTGGCGGTAACCTACCCTAATCCATCTTTGGGGAGCTGGGCCAGGTGGGTGGATCTCATGTCCTCCCACCACGGGGACTGACCTTGCTGAGACATCTCCGCACTCTGGGGTCTCTAGGGGGCATTTCCTAAACCAGCAGCCATAGTCGGGGCTCACTTTGCCAGAGCTCACCGTGCCCCAGGCCCCAGCCACGTATGGGAAGGGGACCAGAATCTCCCAGGACCAGTCCAAGGGTCAGCCTCTGCAGACAGCCACTGGGTATGGCATCTGCTGAATGGAGCCTGATTAGGAAAATACAAATACCAGCCGGTCATTTTCAAAGTAGAACCAGTTCCAGCTCAGTCAAACTTCATTCCTGAGCCCAGTGAGACTTCCATAAAGGACACATTTGAGAGGCCAACAGCAGAACCAATTTATAATTCACTGCCCAAGACTGCACAGAGTCATGGCGATGGTTCCTTGCAGCTAATTTGAGCCAATTAATTAAATTATAGACTAAATTTGAAACATCATCCTATGTTGAGAAAATTATCTTTTTATGAGATGATGATTAAAAAATGACGATCAGTAGCTCTCAGATCATTGATGCTGGAATTAATTATCAGAGGCAAAGGACAGTGATGGATCATGTTTCTGAGCTGTAACAATGTTCTGAATGTCATTAGTGTATTTATCTCAGAGTTGATAAAGCCCTTGTAGAGACTTATCTGCCGGCTGTGCATCCCCCGTACCCTTCTCACTCTGTTCAGGCATTAACTGATCTGGCCACCTGTGAGCATCTCCCATGACTGCATCACCTGCCCTCTGCAATGCGGGTGCCCACAGGGGTCCTCAGCTGCTTGCCCAGTGGTGCTCAGGCCCTGAGGAACAGGCACACTGCTTGCCTCAGGGTATTGATGTGGGAAAGGGAGTCAGAAGACCTGGATTCAAGATGTCACGTGCCACTCAGTGCTTGCCCTCCCTGAGAACCCTGTAGCACCATGAAGAGTTTCTGAAAACAGAATGACAGCCTGTTCCCCGAATTATCTTGGGACCCACAGCAGCCGTTCTTGTTTCAGAGGAGATAGAGGCTCAGAGGTCTGGTGAACGAAGCAGAGTTGCACAGCCCTTAGGGACAGACCCAGACAAGAGCTGAGTCCTCCGATGGGGCCTGGGCGCTCTTCTGGCTCCCTCTGCCTCCTGTCAACTGCAAACAACAGTCACTGGCCCAGGGGCTTATAGGAGAGAAGGGTCTCCGAGGCTCATGGCAAAGACCAAGTTCCTCAAAACAGGCTCCTTGTGGATTCAGAGCATAAGTCCATTCTGGAGAGTGGGTAGAGGCAGTTCTGTTCCTGACCCGGCCACAGCCAGCAGAGAGTCGTTACCAAGGTCCAAGTTCAGAAAGGGAAAGTGAACACGGGCCAGCTGGGTAGACAAGGACAGCCTGTGACAGGCTCTGGCACGCCCTGTTGCAGCCCAGACAGAACTCACAGACTCTGCCTCAGCTTTCCTCCAGCCCAGGCCCTTTTTGGACCATGAGGAAGACAGATTTTACACCCAGAGGTTTGTCCTGAACTCTCCTCTCCCACCATGGGACCATGTTGTCACACCCTGCAAGGTCCTGGGGCTGGTGCAGAGGGGCTCACCTGCTTCCTGTCTGTGTGGACAGGGTCCTGGAGAGTGAGGAAGGCCGCAGGGAGTACCTGGCGTTTCCCACCAGCAAGAGCCCAGGGCAGAAGGGGCGGAAAGACCTGCTGAAGGGCAACGGCCGGCGCATTGACTACATGCTGCATGCTGAGGAGGGGCTGTGCCCCGACTGGAAGGCCGTGAGTCTGGGAACGGGGCCCAAGCAGCCAGGGTCACGGCTGGAGACAGCAGGGCCCTGAGCCCTGCAGCAGGATCTCCTGAGACCCTATCCCCCAGGCCATCTTCTTCTAAAATGAGACCCGACATTCCCTCAGTTCTTTAGGATTCTGGGTTCCTCTAGGTCCCACCCTGCCTTTAGGAAAGTCCCTGCCAACCACAGTCCAAAGCCTCACATCTGGGATCCTCAGGCTGCCATCCCCTGCCCGTAGGCCTCTCCTTTGCAGAATACCCTTTGGGCCTAATCGGGATGCTTCTCCCCTCCCCCACTCAACACAGGAGGTGGAAGAATTCAGTTTTATCACCCAGCTGTCCGGCCTGACTGACCACCTCCCAGTGGCCATGCGACTGATGGTGTCTTCGGGGGAGGAGGAGGCGGCATAGACCAGCCAAGTCGCACATCTGGAGCCGCAGGGGCCTCTGCCAGCCCTTAGAGCCGCAGCCCATCCCTAGGCCGTGTCCTCTCTGATGAGTGCCCAGTGCTGGGGGAAGGAGGGCAGGGGCAGGGAGGAAGTCAGTCAGTGCCCGGGAACCTGGACACTGCGCTGCTCTGCACCTCTGGGCCCTCGCTGCGGAGAGAGGAGTCAGGCCAGCCCAGGAGCCCCCAGTTGCCTAACCAGTGCCATTCTTTCAAAACACGATTTTCTACAAATCGACAGCACAACCTAGTTTGTAACCCGTGGGTTAGTATGAGAACCGGGTTTATGTACTCTTTGTATCTTTCTTAAGCTTCGTCCAGGGTTCATTATTTTTGTCTGCTGCCAATGTTGTCTCGCATGCTGCACCCTCGCATGCACGCTGCCCGCATGCCACGTGCCACACTGTAAGCCACACAGACCCCTTGCTTGGGCCTCACCCAAGGCCAAACGCCAAACACAATCAGAATCAGCCAAAGAAGCACTTCCTGGGCACGGCTGCCAGCTCTCCCGCCTCCAGCCTGGGACGGCTCCCTGTGGGCCCTGAGGCTGTGTCTTGACCAGCCAGCCCAGGGCTCTTCCTCGGGTCTTGCGTTCAAGGGCGATTACATTTTAAAAAGAAAAACAAAAAAAGTTAAAAACAAAATCAACCCTTCACTCCAAAGGGTCTGTAAGTCACTCACAGAACTTTGCTCTTCCTGAGACAGGGTCCCTTCCCCGCCCAGGCACACCAGGGTCCAGCTGGCTCTGGCTGCCCAGAGCCTCCTCCGGGAGACCCTGATCTGGGTAATGGAGCCATAAACGGGGGATCCAAGACAGCATCCCCTTTTTTACAGGAAGAAGGGACTCACAGCATAAAAGGGGGGTGGGGAGGGTCCTGAATTTGAAAATAATAGATTTGTAGCTTCTTCTGTTAATACCAACACATCCTCTTCTTTCCGCCGATCCCTTCTTCCCCTGACACCTCTCTGCTTCAGGACCAATCCTGCCCTGGGGACTTCCCTTCCATGTGCTGGCTGAGCTCAGGAACCACCTACCTGCCCTAGGTGGGGCTGTGGCTTTGGCCTTCCAGGCCCATCCTCAACGGCAACCCTGGCCAAGGCCACAAGGGGACGCTGGCTGAAGGGGTGGGAAGCCAAGGTGTGGCGAGCAGTTGCTCCCTCACCTGTGTGCAGGTTGGGGTGACAAGGCTGCTGCTTGCCTGAGGCAGAGAGTGGTACTGGCTGGCATCCAGACGCCAAGAAGCCACCTGTCACCATGCCACTGGGGCCAGCCCTGCACCCAGGCTCAGCACAGCAGAGCCAGCCAGCAGTGCTCAGTCTCCCATCTGCCTGCAGCCTGGTAGGCCTGCAGCCCCTAGGTTCCCCTTGGCAGCACTGCCTCTGCCCACTGCCTTTAACAGAACCCGGGGGCTGCTCCCTAGTCGCGCAGCGAGGGTTTGGTCTGTTCAGGGTGTGAGGATCCAGCATGAAGGACTTTTTGAGAAGCCCCCACTGGCCTCCCCTCCTTGCAGTGCCCTGGCCATGTCCCGCCTAGCCCAAGGCCGGCTTTTCTGGCAAGGCTGGAGGGGGCACCAGGACCTGCTATCAGATGCTGTGCCTTGTCACCCACTGAGCTGCGAGAGGGACCAAGCGGTGGCCCAGCAGCCAGCCAGATGCCAGGCCCCCTGCTGGGGGAGGACAGTCCTGGAAACGCATCCATGGCAACAATGGTTTGTCTGAACCCACCTGGCCTGGGGAACCTGCCCCACCCAGGCATCCAGATCCAGGTTGGGGCTGCTGATGGCGAGAACACCCTGCCCCTTCTTCCAAGGATCTGGCCTCCCAGATCTCTGACTAGGCTTGTGCAGAGGAGCACCCCCGCCCACCTACTAGGAGCAGCCAAGACTTCTCAGAAAGGTGGGGCGATGGGGCCAGCCCAACCCTAGACCTCCTGAGTTGCATGCAGCTGTGTGCACAGGAGAGCAGCTGAGGCCTGACCAGGGCTCCAGCCCAGGCTCCAGCCCAGCTGCTGTCGCTGGTGGCCTCCCCTCCCAGAGGCAGCAGGTGTGGGAGTCAGGGCCACATGCTTCTCCTCCCACCTCACAGGGCGGCCTTAGGCAAGTCATACTGCCCTGTGCCTCGGTCACTTTCTGTCATCACAAGGTCACCTCTGCCTAGCCAGGCATCCAGAGCAGGAACACTCTGCATCCAGCTCCCCTCATGGCCCCCTCAGTGCCAAAGCTGCGACCACCCGCCACGCGTTTTACAGTGGCATGCCTGTGGACTCCCGGGGCTTGTGGACAAATCAGGCTCTCCACTTGATTTTTTTTAAAAAAGAAACACTGCCAGGATCTCTGATTCTGGGGCACCTAAGTCCCGGGAGACGTGGACACGGATCACCGAAATCCCACAGGCTCAAGGGAAGCTGCGAGGCAGCGGGGTCAGCTTTGGAAGGAAATGTTCATTTTCATTTTTCCAAAACTACCTTAAGTTTTAAGTATGAATATTAATCTTGATGCTTTTTAACTATTGTATTAACTTGCTGAGATTTAGAAATACTGTTATAAAAAAGAAAAAAAAACTTTTTTAATTTCTGTATTTTTTTCTGTATTGAATCCTTATGGGACATTAGGGGTTTTATATGGTAAGCACACCTATGGTTTTGGTAAAAACATTATCAAATATATATCCAGACAATTCTTCCCTAGAAGAAAACAACCTTTACACCTGATAAAATATTTTGAAAAGAGAGGTGTTTTTTTCCTTTACTGGTGCTGAAAGGAAGGATGGATAATGAGGAGAAAATAAAACTGTGAGGCTCAAGGCTGGTGTTCTCCACTTATTTGAGCGACAAGCTGGGGCTGAGCCCTGCTCTGACTCTAGACCCCCGGGCTGGGCAACGTGGGGCAAGCCGTGGGGGACTGCTGGACGGGAGGGCAGCCTTTCCTGCCTCCACCTAGAGGATGGGCACAGCCTGTCTGCCCTGAAATGCTCAGATGCCAGGCCATTGGGTTGTCTTATCTGGAGTCTCCTGTTTCCTCTGAGAATTGGGATGCAAACCACAAAAGGGCATCTTGAGTGTGTAGGAAAACAAGGCCGTGGTCACCTCAGGATTCTGTGGCCAACCCTGGTAAAGGGAGGCTGAGCTGGGCGGCCCTGCACCCTACTCCATCTGCCCCAGAGATTTATGAGAGGGCAAGAGGGGCCTTCTGATACCAAGGGGGCAAACAGGAAAGGGTTGTCCCCAGGCTCTTTTTTTTTTTGAGACAGAGTCTCACTCTGTCACCCAGGTTGGAGTACAGTGGCATGCTCACGGTCACCCTAGCATCAACCTGTTGGGCTCAAGCGATCACTCCACCTTAGCCTTCCAAGTAGCAGGAACTACAGGTGAGTGCTACCATGCCCAGCTAATTTTTTGATAGATTGTAGAGACAAGGTCTCACCAAGTTGCCCAGGCTGGTCTCGAAGCCCTGGCTCAGACAATCCTCTTGCCTTGGCCTCCCAAAGTGCTGGGATTACAGGCTTGAGCCCCCACGCCCGGCCCAGGCTCTCCTTCTTGATAGCTGGTTTCCTGGAACTGCTCTGGGACAGCTGCTTCCTGTCTTCTCAAGAGCAGTCTGGTGTCCAGGTCTCAGGTCTTGGCAGGCCATCTGCTAGTGCTTCACTGACACAGCCTATGAATGTGGCCTGGAAGTTACCCAGAGGGTGAAAAGGCCAGGACCCTGTCCTCTCAGCTCCAACCCTGCCAGGGTCCTCAGACACAACTCAGGTTTCCACTCCCTGGAAAGCTCTAATTGGAGGCAGGTGAGCAGGAACCTGGAGATTCCCAGACAGTGGGACAGGCAGGATGAGCTCAGCCATTGGTACTGCCTGCTAAGAGAGCAGCGTGGCAGCCTCACCTGCCAGCCCCAGCAAGACCCCTGTACCTTCCCTTCTAGGTAGGGCAGGGGACTTCACTTCATTGGAGCTTTCTGAGCATCTCAGAAGCACCAGCAGGGTGGTCACCCTGGCCCCTCCAGGGTTCCAAATTCAGGTGCCAGCTCATGCTGCCTGGCACACCTGGAACAGGGAGCCAGCAGTGCAAAGATGCTAAAACAGAGGCAGTCCGTCCCAGGCCCTGATTCTGAGCAGGTCCCCAGAAGCAGAGGAGTACCTTCAGCCCTCCTTCCCCAGAAAGTCACAAACCATGCAGAACCCACAGCCCTCAGGACACTTTATTTCTCAAGGGATAGTCATTCTGGGGTGTCTGCGAGCCGGAACTCCATGGTGATGTCTCCGGTGTGGGGGTGAAACTCCACAGCATAGGTGACTGTCTGCAGGCCCCCTAGTGGCACCCTGGGATCCAGCACAGTGCTAAAGAAGTACACGGCCTGCTTGCAGTGGGGGTTCCAGCAGCAGTCCCCCTGCAGGGGGGGCAGCAGGAAGACAGTGAGGGCTCCTGGCACCTGAGCCTCCTTCCTGGCCAGCCTCCAGCCCAGATGGCTGGCTGCAGGGAGAAGATGCTCAGGGGCAAGTGACTCAGGACCACTAAGGGATTATCATCAGCCTAAAGTACTTAGGACAGGAATACCCAGGGCACAGGGGTTGGTGTGGCCTCTTCAAGTGGCACCTGTTTCCCCAGGGTCAGCACAGGCTCTGGGCCTGGTGCATGCAGCATTACCTTGTCGTCTGCAGGTTCCAGGAGGCCAGTGCTGACTGTGCTGTCTGGGGTCAAGTGGTATTCCATCCACAGAACAGCCCCGTGGCTCCTCCCAGGCCTGGGAGTACAGGGACAAAAAGAAATTGTCGCACAAGAGACAAGTGGGCATAGCCATGGTTTCTTCCTGCCTTCTAGAAGGTGCTGGTCTTCTCACTTCCTCCCTCCCCAGTCAGAAGATCCTGTACACCACCTAACTAAACCAGGTACACAGAGCTGGGCATGGTGGCTCATGCCTGTAATTCTAGCACTTTGGGAGGCAGAGGTGAGAGGACTGCCTGAGCCCATGGGTTCAATATCAGGGTGGGTAACCTGACGAGACCTCGTCTCTACAATAAATTAAAAAAAAAAAAATCTGGGAACGGTGGCTCATACCTGTAATCCCAGTACTTTGGGAAGCTGAGGCGAAAGGATTGCCTGAGCCTGTGGGTTCGAGACCAGCCTGGGCAACACGGTGCGACCTCGCCTCCACAACAAATCAAAAAATTAGCTGGGCGTGGATGCACACACCTGTGGTTCCAGCAACTTGGAAGGCTGAGGTGGAAAAACTGCCTGAGCCCAGCAGGTCAAGGCTCCAGAGACCATGAGCATGCTACTACACTCCAGCCTGGGAAACAGAAACTCAGACTCAAAAAATAAAAATATACATACATGCTACAATAAAATAAATAAACATCAAAAAGAAAAGGCCGAGCAAGAACAGTCACAGCTCAGAGCCCTCTCTGATCCCACAGCCTGGCCGAGCACTCCAAGCAGCAATGGGCAGGGCCAGGGCAGCTGTAGGAGGACCAGCTTCCCCAGCTGAGGTCCAGGAGGCTCAGAACACAGCCTGGTACCCAAAGCTGAAAGGTACCCTGCAGCACCAGCTCCAGCAATGGTGTCTGCCCTGCCTGTGCTGCTGTACCTTGCTAGGAGGTTGCTCCTCAGGGAAGAAGCAACTCCTCTCTGTGAGGGGATCAGGGGCTGCATGCAGTCTGACCGAGCCTCAAAGTGAGCAGCCCTCACCAGTTCCCCACCTGCGATAATTTCCAGGAGAGTTCAGGAAAATGGCCCCATGCATAACCATAGAAACCAAGTTCAATTTCTCTGAGCTATGACCCAACAGGGAAGCCTCAGATGTGGAGGTAGGAGCCTTAAAGTCCCCTCTGGCTCCCCTCTTCACGCACACACCTCCAGACTGAGAGCTGCTCTGACAAGGAAGAGCAAGAATGAGGCAACCCACGCTTGTCAGAGTCTCCCAGACAGCTGTGCTTGGCCACATGGGCACCAACTCCTAGAAGGCATTCCTTTGCCCCCACGCCCTCCTGGAGCCTGCACTCACCTCCTCAGCTCCATGGAGCCCTCAGCATGCAAGGACTGCTGAGGGACTGGCTGCCGAAAGTCAAAGGTCAGGATCTTCTGGGGCGTGGAGAGGCTGCGGCAAGGATACTCCCACAGTGGGTGGGGCTCAGCCTCCCTGCTCTCCCTGAAGTCCAGGGCATGCTGGGAAGAGAAGGGGCCTTAGGGGTCTGTGGAGACAGAGCCTGCAGCCACAGGAAAGGGGCACTTCCAAGGCCTGGGCAGCCCAGGGTTAACAGCAGTCACACGGGGCAGCATGTTCTCACAGAAAGACTCTGTGTATGGGATCAGACCAGCCGGCTTCTCCCTTCCTGCTGGCTCACCTGCCAGCTCCTTAGACGTCACTTCACCTCTCTAAGCCTTACTTTCTTTCCTTTAAAATGGGATGACACTGCCTCTCCCTCGAGCTTTCTGAGGACCAAGCATATACATCATTGGTGAGAGTCCCCGGTGCCTGGACACTCACTGACCACGACAGCTGTAAGGCACCTGGCAGGAGGCTCCCTGGCTACAGGGGGACAAACACATGAACAAGTAATCTCAGTGCCTAGGAAAAGCACTGGCATTCAGGTGGGCATGGTCTGGGGCAGGACAGAAGTGGGACAGGGAAGGCTGCCTGGAGAAGGGAGCACCAGACTCTGATGGTCAAACAGAAGCCAGCAGGAGAAGAGCCGAGGGGAGGCAGTGCAGACAAGAGTTAAACTAGGGAGCGGGGCGGGGGGCAAGGCCAGATTTAAGATCTCCAAGTCCACTTGGGTTGTGTGTGGAGAAGAAACCTGGAATGAAGGGTTACTGGGAACATGATGACCAACTGCTAGTACAGGGAAGACTCACCACCAGGGAGGACGCCCAGGAGCCTGAGCCTGGCTGGTCAGTATGAAGTGACACCAGGTCTAAAACAGGGAGCACTGAAAGGGGCCGGGCTGGAGGTAGGAGAAGGGCAGGTAGATTTGAAAAGTATAAAAGTCAAAATGCCTGATGACACCCATGGACCAGACTGGCAGAACCATATCAGCAACAGAGGGGACGGGGCAGATAGAAAGGGAAGGGTCAAAACCCAGGAAATGAGGGAGCCCCAGAATACATGACACCTCAGGAGATAGGATGGGTTAGCCCAGGAAGGAGACTGAGGAATGGCCAGAGAGCTGAAGGATCCAGAGTGCAGGGTATCAGCACAAAGGAGATTTCTAGAAGCATGGAGCCGTCAGTGGCCTGCTGTGGAGGCGCAGGTAAGAGGAAAATATTCATGGGGTTTATTTACTTTAAAAAATGTTTACACAAGAAATCCACTTTAACTGTAGAAAACTGTGAACAGAAAAATGAGCAAAAAGAGGAAAAAAGTACGTACTTCCTGATCCACAGCTACCACTATGTATTCACTACCACTCCCCTTCCCTAGTGCTATACGAATTTTCTTTTCTTTTTTTTTGAGTTGGAGTCTCACTCTGTCGCCCAGACTGGAGTGCAGTGGCTGC